GTTTGATCAAGGTAATATCTTGTACCTGATGAGTTTGAGTATTCTCACAACTTGTTTGCTGGATAATGTACAGATATTATAAAGAGAAGTTACATGTTAATCACTTCTCCCAATAACATCCAAACACTATGCAGCAAACAAGTGATGAGAATACTTAAACTTGTCAGGTAAAAGTTATTATGATCTAACACCAAATTCTTATTACTAATTCATATTCAGTAAATGTGTAACTGCTGGAGGGGAGAATCAACAATCTGGTCTTGGTAGTTAAACAGCTAAAGCCAAAGTGTTCTGTCAAGAAAAATTATCAACGCAATAGGCCAACTACCAAAAGCCCAGACAAAAATAGTGATGACAACTGTGATAATCAAGACAAAAATGATGCTCCCAGTTACTATTCATTATCATCAATCTCATTCTTAAGAAAATGACTGGTGATCCCCTTACAACTTAAAATTCAAAGAAATACTGTAAGCTTGAGTCTACACACCTATCAACTGTGTATTTTCCAATGATTCTCTTGCGGTGCTTGATAGCTTTCTCATTTTCAAACTCTTCATTGATAATTACTTGTTCACACATCCCTGTACAGTAGAAGAGAATCTGACCATTAAATAAAATTCTCCGATAAAGTGTTGAGCTGCTGTGTATATTGATTAAGAAATAAGATTAATTTTGAATTTCTGTCATCCTGTCACCCTTGCCAGTTTCCTACAAAGCTCATCAATGGCTAGGTATTGGTCCATGAAACCAGATTCCCGAAATATAATCTTTTTTTTTTCTACATTTTTGGATTGGTTCTTACTTATGATCTATAGAAGGACAGACACTTAGATGACATCATTATTCACACAATTTTGCTTTTTTTATCAATAATAAAAATTCTATGTTGTTACGGGTCTGTACAATAAGACATCACAGGAGACAAAATGTCGTAAGAACATCATTGACATTCTCGTCTCATGTACCACTTTTTTTTTCTTACCATATTTTGAAGTCATCTGTGATCTATTACTGAACAGACAGATGACAACATAGAATCTACTTGTTGAGCAGAAAGGGAATTTGGTTTGTGGACATTGTTGAATTACCTGTTTCATCTGTCACGACACATGAGTGTCGAATATGAGCAATAACAAATTCTGGATCATCTATAAATGCCATCTTTCAATCCTGATGTAAGCCTATATCATTCTCTAGAAGGGAAAACAAAAGGTAAACATCATCCAACAAAAATCTGCTGAATCAAAGTGTTTTGGCTGCAACTTGGACAACTTGATTCTGTTTAATTCTCGTTCATTAATTTTGCAAACTTAAAACGCACATCACTGTCAAATTTTTATGCAAATAATTCAGTTAACACTTGCCTTTACTTCTGGGATATGAGAGGAAAAAATTAAATCCATTTCCCCGAGTTTGATCGAGCAAATTTGACTCTCGCTGATCGTTCCACTTATGTTGGACATTCCGCCATGTTTGTTTGTCTTGTCAATGGAACGACCGCTGACCAGTAATGCTAGAACATCTCGCGACCTAGTGCGAGGTGAAGTCCATATGCCCCCCAAATCATAACGTAGATGGAATACCGGTATGTATCTCCATGTCTCTACTATAGTTTGCCACACCTTTCAGATAAAAGGAGATGAAATCAAAGAAAGTTTTACTCCATCAAAAATAAAAGGAAAACTGAGGGTGTCTGTTCAAGCTTGATTGCTTTGTTGTGTGATTCTTTTTGGTCAAATTATTTGTGTCCAGCTTCAGTTTGCAGGGACTGACTGAAAATGTAGCATTTATAAAAATTAAAGGGATGGGAGTGGACAAAGAAAAGCACATCAAATATCCCTTGCAAGTATTGCAGGTGGGGTTTTAGCCAATGAGTGCTTTTTATAAATTTTCTTGGTGAAAATCATGGCTGCCATCTTTGATTCTTACAGCAGGGGAAGTCTGAACAAGGGGGTTAGTGACAGAAAAAGGAAGGAGAAAGGAGGAAGTGGGTTAATATTTCCCCAAAGGTTTCCATTTCTGAATATGATCAACAGTATTTCAAGAATATTAAAATGGATGAAAAAAATCACAGACTTCTGACTGGCTAAAAATTAGTGAATTTTTCACGTAACACAAGTGCAAAGTTGTAATACAAGTGCAAATTAGGAGTAGTGTGCCCTGTAAAAATTGTCTGTCTTTTCTTTCAGTGATCCTTTTTCCGTGTAAATTATTAATAAGTAACAACATGATTTCTTGTCTGATTTTATGTAACTAAGCACTAGTAAATTTTTTTCAAGGAAATCAAATAGCATGAGACCATGTAGCTTGTGCAGTTTTGTTGACTTTTAAAAATTTACTTGTGCTTATTAACATCAAATTGTTATTACCTACACAGATCTAAAATGCTACCAGTTTCCTGCCTACTGCCAGTAAGCCCAGTTTCTCTTTCATGCTTTCATTCATGCCTCCATTTTAACTTCCCGACATTCCCTACTGATCACTTTAATCAAATGATAAAAACTAACTTACTTCTTTGTTTTCTGATTCTAACACAAACTTCTGGTAATTTCTTTCACACGCTTCAATTTTATCTACAAAATAGTTTTCATTACAAATGCTTTGATAAAGATCAGCTTTCACTACACACATATTATCAAAAGTTGCTGGATCCACTGTGCAAAACTGCTTATCCTTTACAGCTAATACATTGACAATGCTATCCTCTGGCTCCCATGGACGGAAATTATCGTCAAACATGATGTGATGAACTGATTCATCGCATGGATCAATTAATAAAGGTTTTGCTGCTGTTGAGCAAAAATCTTGGGCTTTCCACCATGAATAATCGTCTACAACTAGCTGTATCCCTGTGGAATGGCTGAAATATGTATAAATATCCCATGAGTTTGAAAGTGTAACTTCTCCTGGAAATTCCAAAGAGATGTGGTCATTTGACTGTGTCACTGTCCCAGTGGTGAATTTTAATCCAAATGATGAACTGTCCGCAAGTTTCCCACTTGAGACAGATGTCTGGTGATGCTGTGGATTCTTGAGGATCATTTCGTCAATGAAATCTCTTGCAGCCTTCAACACGATTTGACCGTCCCCACCAAAAGTCCGGAAAACAATGGCAAACTCTCGTCCACTCTTGAACAAATGGTCCAAAAGTTTGTAAAAGGAGGGTACAATACAATGATAAGATTTTCCAGAGTTGTCTTTGAAGGAGGGTAGCTCCCCATTACTGCATTTTAGGTCGCCTGGGAATTCCAGAGCCGTCAGCATTTGGCTATAAAAGCTCCTGAATGGTTTTCCAATCTCTTCTTCCGTGAAGTTGCGAATGTGCGTTTTGAAATGTTTTCGTGGCTTTCCATTATACTTTGATTGTGCAAATCGATAGTAAGATATCGCTTCTTGATCAGGGGGTTTGTCATGTAGGCTGTTATCTGCGCTTTTCCATGATCCTGTGGTGTCCAGTTTTCCCCAAACGACATCCACAAGATACTCGTTCAAAGCTGATTCTGGTGTCACCTGTTTTGTAATAGAATCACCAATGAACACGGTGTTGTTTACATCCAAGTGTAACACCAGCTTTCGTCGCTTGCGGGCTGGATGCGATGTCATCGCTAAATATTATCCCTTACACAAACAAAAGGCAAAACTGAATCGAATCTGGCTTAAGAAATTCCTGTAAGGCCCTTTTAGGTCCCTAGCCTCTCTAAACACGATATTTTCTGCATTGTTCAAAGAGAGGCAGATTGCACTTTTCTCGTATCGATTACATCAGAGGTCTGAGCACTAGTATATGTCCCAGGTCCTGCAGACATATCTGAAAATGCAAATCTTATTTCAATGTGTACGTGACAATGATTGTACCGTTGCACTTATGTGGTTGCTGATTCATTACTTTTATTAAACAGTAGACTGTTTAGCTAACGTTTAACATGCCAATCACCTAATAAAGGTGGTATTTTCTGGGAAACAGCGGAATACCCTGCCACTTTGGTCTACCTCATTTACATGTGCCGTGAGGCTTTCAAGAACGAGGCATAACACAATAATGACATGTAAATTAGTGGCAGGGTATTCTGTACTTTAGCCATTTTCTGTAAATAAATCAACGATTTGTCTTTCCGAAATGACGCACAGACATTTAGGTGCGCTGTTTGCAGAACTAATCCTTTAAGACGCTCCTTCATTTTAACAATACAAACAAAGGTTTGCCGTTTACCCCAGAAACAATGCAACTTCCCATGGGAATAAGCTCAATGCTGTAAAGAATGATTAAATATTTATACCTGTAAAATTTTCAAATAAACTGTAAACTTCTGCGAAACGGATCGCAAGAAGTGTCATTTCAAAAAAAATTACTTCATTGTTCCGATACAATCTATTGAGGTATAATTTTCACACTATAAACGCTCGCAAACATTTCAGATCTTTTAAAATGAATGTTTATTATCATTGTTGCGCCTGTTTTTTCTCTTTTTTAACTACCTGTCTGGGTATTTTTGGTAGTTATTAAATCGATTACCATATGAATTATATCCGGAGATGATGACCCTCCACCGCGTAGCTTTTACGTCAAAGCACTCGTCAAGGTCTTCACAATATTGAAGTCGTTTTGTGAACACCCCCGGAAATAAACAAAACAAATAGTAAACGGAAGTGAGTTTTACACCCAAATTTGGAAGCACTTGCCCAAATATAGGAGATGTCACGGGTCGACTCAACATTGAGGTCACTTCTCAAACTTTGAGTCACGTTATAAACGAACGATAGTCTCTTCTTAGAATCACAAGCAACGGAAATCTTTAAAACAGTCACATATACGCGGAGATATGTCACTACGGAGGTAGAGCGTTAAAGACGGGATATAACTCTTTCAATTTCTGGCGTTAACGGTGAAGTGATCATGGGTTTTATCCGAGTAAAATTGATAGAAGTCGAGCCGGCGTCGACTTGGGTGAAAGACCCACAGTCCTTTGATTGTTACTGCGCTGTGCACATAAAAGAAGCAGTGATGTCTGCATCGCAGGGAATTTCACTAGTGCAGAAGAAAAAGACAATTTATCCAGAATGGAACAAGTGCTTTGATACTCATTTATACGAAGGCCGAGTAATAACCATTGTAGTTCTACAGAAACCTACTGGAAAGGTTGTAGCCGATGTCTCAATTGGAGTTCAGTTCTTGGTTGATCAATGCAAGCGTGATGCACATGGTTTTTCTAGTGTTTGGGTGAGTTCGTATCAAATTCTAACTACGCTTCTATTTTCGTTGTGAAAACTTCTCCCGGTAATAGGCCTCCTCCTCTTGCAAACTTCAATTATGTTTCGACATCTGCCATCCCTCTATAAATATCCATACTAATATATTAAAACCTTTCAGATTGTATCGATCGTGGTTTTAGTCTAAAGAAGCATGTATTCGTTATTTTTCCTTCTGCCCTGTACAAATTAATTTCACGGCTAATCGAGATTAAGAAGCTAAGAGAAGCCTTGAGATGGAGAATGGAAAACAAAAGCGATTTAATTACTTTGGGAATAAAAAGCGTATTATTAGGTTTACTATCGCACTTCAAACGGAATCCGAGCTACAAATTTGCATAAAAGTACATTTTGTTTTAAATATAGTTTGTATCGGTTTGTAATGCTGAAGCTCTTGGCGACAGCAAAGTATGTGATATTTTGTAATCGTCGAAGAATGTTGCAAAATTTGCATCAAAATCTTTTGTATAACTTGTTGTGTTGGACGAATCTCAGGAGTTTGAGGAATAAAGCACAGACTACCTTTGCTATTTGAAATAATCGCACTGATATTCTTTGTATAATGATTGAATACTCGGCTGAATATTCTTAATGTCTTTCTAAATTTGTCCCTGGAGAAGTAACTGAAAGGGATCCCATCTTTGAAAAAAATGATTAGTTCAATTATGCGTTTACATTGTAGTTTCCAATGTTTTTTTTTTTCCAGAGGTATGCATCAAATATTATTTAAGCACAATAAAAATTCATATAATCACCTGATTTGCATTGATGGGAGACAATATTATTGTTGTGTTCTATCATGCCTTGGCTACATGATGCTTCTTAATTACTTTCAATATTATCTCTTAACTAAACAAGAGATGATTGTCGCAGTATTGAAATGACATGATTCGATTTTGGCAAATATATTTTTCAACCTATGTTTGTATTGATCAGGGCTTGACAGCAGCTTTGCAAACAGGAGATTGTCATTTCCTGTAGGCAAGCTGAGTCAGAACAGAAAAACCACATTGCAATGTTCTTCAGAAGCACTGGCAGACGGTGCTTTTGCTGCCTACTCGATCTTGAAGTACCAGCTTCTAAGATTACAAATTAGACTTGTTTTGATCTGAAATAAATTTTAGCTTAATTTTTTATGTACCCAAAGAGATTGATTAAAACTGGGAAGGAAACAGTGAGTTCACCTTTTTGCTCCCAAGTGACCAAAAAAAATAATCTCTCCTTACAGTATCTCTATATTATCAAGCAGCTATGTGATGAGACTTGGAAAAAATGTTAATTAGGGGGATTATCATTTGATTCATCACCAATTTTTTAACACAATCTTTTTAAGGAATGTGCATCAGACAGTAAAGAGAATTTTCATTCAGATCTTGGTAATGAAAGGGTAAAAGCAGTGGGAAAAGATTTTGGTGAAGTAGATGCTTGTGTTCCACAGGCACTTGCCTGATTCTCACTGGCATGAACTCAACATGCCTAGCTTTGCTATGGTTAACCTCATGATAGCTGTATGAGACATTAAAAAAACAACTCTCTGATCACAGTTCAATTTGATAAATGGTAAAAAAAGTGTTATAATAGTGAAACCAGCTCACTGGATTTTAACCATTAAAAAATAATGGCTGAGTTGTAAGTGAAAAAATGTTTTTTTTTTCCTTCTCTGATATAGCTGGATCTTCAACCCAATGGCAGACTACTGGTTCAAGTGCGGCATTTTATTGAAGTTTTAGGTAATTATTTTGTTTCTTGTTTTAGACAATTCCAGGATAATGAGGATGTTGTTGTCATGTGTGTTCTGAAAGTTGAAATTCTAGCACCATGATGAGTTTCAATTTCTTATCTGTTAATTTTTTGATGACTGATTTTGTTGTCTTTTCAGGGAAAATGGGGAAGTTATTGTTGAGTGTATTCTGAGAAAGTTGAAATTCTAACACCACAATGAATTTCACTTTGCCATCAGTTTGATTTTTGAATGATTGATTGATAGATTTAAGTCTTTTTTTTGCTAGATAAGTAGCAAACTATTGACATATTATTACGGGAAAGTGAAAAATCGTAAATGGAAAAGTTCAGAGCAAATGATTCAAGGATTAAATGGATTTAAAAAAAAAGCCCAAAGTGTTTCTGGTAGAATGCTTCATTCTCTTAAGGAATTATTTGACATTATTTTGTGAAACAGAGGCAGAAATGACTGCTGTATCAGATGTCACTCAGAGCTTTATCTTATTGAAATTGTAGTCTGTCAACAGGCCTTCATTGTTAGCCTCTCAGCCTAAGAGTTTCTTTATCCAGAGGATAGTATGAGGCCTTGAGTGATGGGAACAAATAATGAGGGTGTATTTGCACACTATTTAGAGTGTTTGATCTAAGATTATCTTATTCTATAACTCTCTATATAAAATGTGCTGCTTACTTTGATTATTATTGTTTACCTGTGATTTTACAGATGACCCTACCAAAGAAGGTAAACCCCATGAAAACCACAGTGGGCTCACTGGAAGGCGTGGTGCCATGAGAAAACAGAAATGTCACATTTTTAATGGTCACAATTATGTTGCCAGATTCTTTCGGCAGCCTGTGTTTTGTTCTGTTTGTACAGAATTTATGTGGTAAGTGTTAGTTAAAGCTACTTCAAACCATTTTAAAGACTGTTGAAACATTTATGTTTATCATTACTGATTAAAATGTGCCATCAGCTCCAATAAGCTGTAGTAAGCACCTGATATCTAACCAATATAAACTTCTGTCAATTAATTTTATTATTTCAGGGGATTTGGAAAGCAAGGATATCAATGCACTGGTGAGCTTTGTTATTCATAATCGATGCTTAACTAATTTTTTTTCTCTTTTTTTAATGCCAGATAATGTTACTGAGCAAGGGTGGGAATTAGAAGTCACCCCTTTAGTACAGCTTGGAAAAGCACAAGGGAGCACCGGGCTGCCAAAATAATTTAGCAAACAGCCCATTTCACTATTAACTCTAAAAAATCCACTCGTTATTTTGAATGCTTGGAGGGCTCGGCAGCTCCCAGAGCCCTTGCCTGTGGAAGGGGCCTTTAGCTCTTAGTGCTGCCTTCTTTGTATCACAGTCTTGTTACACAAAATTGTTTTGACAACCTTGTGAGCATCTTATTTTATCACTTATGGGTTAACACCAACAGATAAAAAATAATTAAGGAAGAGGAGTGAAGGAATGAAACTTTTATTTGTAGGTCAAAGTTATATTTTGCAGATTTTTGTGTTGAAAAAACAAAATTTTGTGGTTTTGAGAGAATTGAAGTTTGTACTTGAGAGTAATCTTTGCAAGAACACAATTCATTGAGGCATCCAGTTTTTGAAACCTGGACCCCTTTGCTCATTATCTGGGGCAGGGTCCAGCATGCTAAACATTAAGGGCAGGTTACTTTAACAAAGTTAAGCCCTTTTTAACAAAGCTGAACATATATTTTTGTGAACAGTGTCAAGAGGGAAAAAAGCTAGCATTGGAAGGACATTTATTTAATGAAAAGAACCCTCATATAAAGAATACATAAGACCCACTGCTTGGGTAAAACTGCGGTTGGGGTTATACTCTGTGTCTCCTACTGCTCTCTCCATGAATGGTGCATTTGCTAAAATTACCTTTTTGAACTTTCAGTTTGTACAAAGGTGTGTCATAAAAAGTGTCATGACAGAATTGTCAGTCACTGCCCTGGAACACAAAATGTAGCTGAGGAAACCAAGGTATTGGTTAACTTTAACTCCCAGAACTGATAAACTTGTAACTTCTTTAAAACTTTGGAAGTTTTTGAGCAGAGTAGTGAAGTGAGACCCAAAACACCTTGAGATATTTTAGAGTTCTTTCTGTCAACTTTTACCTTTATAAATGAGTTTTGATAAAAATTGTTGATATTGTTTTATCAAATATTCCAGCATTCATTTCCAACAAAAAAGATTTTAAGTTTCCAAGAACATACTGACTCAAACTTCGTTACCCAGTAACCATATGTCCTTTCAGAGGACTGTTTGTCTGAAACTTGAGGACCTGGCTTGAAAGTCAGCAAATGGAAGATTTTGATCAGAAATAAAACGATCAGTCAAACTATTGTTATAAAGGAGACAAATATTTAATGATCATCTAGGGAAATTAACGCCGAAACCTCTGTTTGAAGCCAGTTTATTCTGATTGGAAGTAATCAGATGACAAGAGGGAAATTCTCCAGCGAGTACTTTAACAAATTAGCCACCTTCTTCTCATCTTCTTGAAAGCACTGCATGTGGAGTTGTTATCTTGACCTAACACCAACTCTTGTAAATTATTTCTATGGAAATGTGTAGGAGACAGAGGAGAGAATTACCAATCAGATCTTAGGAATTGTTTCTTTCTTTTACTGATGCTGTTGTAATTTTTGTTTTTCTAGAAAATGAAGGAGAGATTCAAAGTTGACATTCCACATAAATTGGGGCTAACAACATATTTAAGACCAACTTTTTGTGACCATTGTGGATCAATGTTGTATGGATTATACAAACAAGGCCTGAAGTGCAGAGGTAACTGTCATTTTGAGTTTATTTTAGAAGAGAGGTACACTTTAAAAATCATTTAGCTGACAAGTCTAACCGATGAGACCAAATCACGGTTGCGAAGGAGACTAACAGCTTTGTGTCTTGTCTAGAATGTGGCTTGAACTACCACAAGAAGTGCGAGAGATTCATTCCAAACACTTGCGGTATCAACCAAATGATGCTCGCGGAGGCAATAGCCATCACGAAGGTGAGCACTTATTGTTGCAGTTAAGCTGAGCCTAGGTAACTCGCAATGTACTGTGTCTAATCTATGGTTTCACACAAGTTTGTGTTTCCGAGTGGAAGGTGACGCGTTTGGTGCCAGGGTCTTGTGGATGGCAACCTGTCCAAGGCTTGTCTCAGTTTGTAAAACGGAGCGGCGGAGCGAAAACGTGGGAACTGTTTTGAAAACTAGAGACCAAAATGTTAGAGACGAAATAATGATGGAATAATAAATCCCTCATTTGATGGTTTAACATATAATACGCGCGAATATTTTGCTCATTGCTTGTACTTTTCCTCGCCCCTTTGGAGCTCGAAAAAAAATACTATGCAACTCGCAAAATATCCGCGCGTATTATACATGTATGTCAAACTATCGAATAAGATGTATGTATACTGCTCGAAAGCGTTGCGTGACCATGTTTTTTTAAATTTGATTCCTCATCACTCTCTGCAGAAAGAGAGGATACGCAAGATTAGCCAAGAGCAAAGGCAAGCTCTAGGGGGCAAACCTTCTCCCACAGCTCGTGGTAACAATGATGATGATGATGACGATGATGATGACGACGACCATGGTGTGTATGAAACTCTGTGGGACGCGATTTCTCCACCTGTGCCTCAGAGGACAGTCAGTATCAAAGGAAAAGATGTCAGAAGGATTGAACAACCTCTCTACCACATCGAAGATTTTAATCTGCTTAAAGTTCTGGGAAAAGGGAGCTTTGGCAAGGTAAAATGAGACGTAAATTGGAACGCTTTTGAAGCGATCTCGAGTGAAAGTCACAAAATCGTAGTTATTGGAGTTGAAGATATGTGACAGTCACAAACCGAAGGAAAATGAAGTGTTAGATGTACTGAATGAAATTGTAATTTTTCTCTTCATACTCCGAAACAAAACTAACTTTAGCAATTAACCCTTTACGCCCTAACATAAAAATGCACGTTCAATATACTGTTTTCCATATATTTCCAAGGGCCCTGACAAGGAGAATTTGTGTATCAATCAAGAACTTCTTTAGTTGGTGATAATTACTTTAATGTGTGATTCAGGGGTAATATTGTGAATAGAAATATTCGACGCTTGTCTCTTTTAGGGGCTAAAAGGCATAAAGACATCAATCTGCTTTTATGCGGATTTTAGGAAATGTACCGTGGTTTGAAACTTAAAGAGAGTTAAGTGCGGATATCAAAGTAAGTTTATACTTTTTTCCCTTCAGGTGCTACTCTGTGAGCTGAAAGAAACGAAACAAGCATTTGCAATTAAAGCACTGAAAAAAGATGTGGTTTTAGAAGATGATGATGTTGAATGCACCATGGTGGAAAGAAGAATTCTGGCACTGGCGACGAGGCATCCTTTTTTGACTCATCTTCATTCTGCGTTTCAGTCTCAGGTAAGATGAGTTGTCGAACAGTTTTCAACTCTGAGTTAAATGTAAGCTGGTATTCCAATGTGCCCTTGAGTTCTCTAAACCCAAACCAAAGTAATCATAAACGGGTCAATCAGAACGAAGGAAGATATCAAGAAGAACCAACGAGAACTCAAAACAAAACCAAGTAAACTGCCTAAAGCGCGGGAAACGCGGGTCGCCAAGACGCAGGCGGTACTAGTTTGCCTCTGATCTGTTTCAGTTCTTCAATGAAGAGTTCTCTAAAATGCTCTGTGATTGGTCTTGATAACTCGCCCCTCCCGAACCAAATCAGTTGCAACGCCAAAACTGTTCGCTCCATGGTCACCCGCGCTTCAAGCAGTTGGTTTGTTTTAACTTAAGGCTACCTTTGGCTACTTGTGATATTTTCCCTTCTTAAGTTTTAAGTGTTTATTAGCCCAACTTAAGGATGAAACTTACCGCTTTTAGGATCACTTATTTTTCGTCATGGAGTACCTCGGAGGCGGTGACTTGATGTTCCACATACAAACTGTCGGCAAGTTTGATGAGACAAGATCCAGGTACGTAATCACAGACATGTTTGGATTATAGTACAAAGTTCTATTGCTTCGCTTTGTGATTGGTCCAGAAAACTCGCGCCACCATCCCAACCAACCAATCGCTAAACTAAACCAATCCCAACTTGGTTGCCTGCATTTTCCCGCCCTTCAAGCAGGTTGCACACTCTGCCGTAAAGCGCTTTGATCCGGGATCTCGTTAGTTTTGCTATTCTTCACGCTGCGATTGGTCCAAAGACTCGAAACCTTCTCGTTCAATCAAATGAAAAAAAAAATGTCACAATGATGTCGTGGTCGTTTATATTCCCTCCCTTCGGGCCGTTTACTTGTAGAACACGGTCACTGATGTTTTTCTTTTTTGTTATACGCAGGTTCTATGCTGCTGAAATTGTGTGTGGCTTGGAATTCTTACATGGTCGAGGAATCGTTTACAGGTACCAATTTCATTGCAGATATAAGTATCATTTGTAACATTTCCCCTTTACTGAGTCGTAATGTTAGTGATTGGTTGATTAATTGCAGTTTACAACCGTCACTTTCCATAAAAACTCAATTTGAACTTCCAACACTTTAAATTGTAGACTTTTAACTCTGAACCAGTTTCGTGTCTTGCGCAGTAAAATACTTAATATGTTATTTGCTCGTAAACAGAGGACATTCAAATGGGTTGCACTTTGTTGTACATTTGTTCCTTTTGAAAATTGCCCTCTAAAAAGCGTGTTTCTAAATTAGATGCCCCCAGCCCTTAACTCATGCACGATTCTTCTTTTTCCTGTCATTTATAGAGATCTAAAACTCGACAATGTTCTGCTGGATGCAGATGGTCACATCAAATTAGCAGACTTCGGTATGTGCAAGGAAGGAATTTCCGAATCAAAGAAGGCGACAACATTCTGTGGAACGCCAGACTACATTGCACCCGAGGTCGGTTTGAAATTTGTATTTCTATTTGTTTATGTTTTGTGTTGTTCTTTGTTGCTTGCCATTGGACATTTGTCGAAGCCGAAAATAGATTTCTTTGATCATACTTCGCCCTGTGATTGGTCGAGTAAACTCGTGCCGTCTTCTCAACCAATCAGATGCAAATGAAAACTATTCGCGACTTGGTCACCCGCGTTTTCCCGCGCTTCAGGATGGTTGTAAGTATTTTCTCCTGTGACAATTACCTCGTTCTTATCGGCTGTTGTGATTCCTTTTTGCGATAATCTGACCGACCTTAGCGAAAGAGGAAAGCACACGTTAAGTTAAGTATCGAGTGAGAGAAAGAGACATAATTGTAGACGGCCAATTACAAGAACAGAGCGCGGGAAAACGCGGGTTCCTTCGACGTGTTTGGTGTTAGTTTTGCATCTGACCGGTTAAGAGGGAGGCGCGAATTTTTATGGACCAATCACATAACAAAGTAAAAGAAAATTATTACAATTCCAGATTTCTTTCAATACTCAATTAGAAACTTCTCTTATGTTTTACTCACCTCGTTTGTTGCAGATACTGAAGGGATGGCGTTACGACTCGGCAGCTGATTGGTGGTCATTCGGTGTTCTTTTATACGAGATGCTGATTGGTCAGGTACGTTTTACACGTTAAATATATTTTAAATTTCCATCAGAATCTCCAACGTTACTAGTAATACCATTTATTAGAGCAATTTAGTGTCACAAATAAGACGGGATTGCTTTTGGTTCTGCTTTACTTCGTTCTGATTGGTATAGAAAAGTCACGCCACTCTCCCAAACAATCAGATAAAAAACTAAACCCAATCACAACTTGGTCACCCACGTTTTCCCGCGCATTATGCAGTTGGTTTGGTTTTTCTTTGAGTTTTTATCGGCTCTTTAGGGCATTTTTCTTTTCTTCTGATTTACTTTGGTTTTGCTTTTACGATACTCAGTCTAAAAGCACTTTATATGTCTGCACTAATCAAAACTGAATTGGAATACAGTCCGTTCAATAACCGTTACTATTATTTTTTCACTTATATATTGTCATATTTTGTTCAAGGAAGTTCCCTCTTCTCGGTAGTCTAGAGGTGTTAAAAATTCCAGGCATAGGCATACTTGATGTTATGTTTTCGTTTTCTCAACAGTCTCCGTTCGCTGGTGAAGACGAGGAAGATTTGTTTGACTCCATCTGCCGTGATAAGGTTCATTATCCAAAGTGGATCTCACAACCTGCAGAAGATTGCTTGAGCCAGG